CCACCATTAGCACCTGGGTATAAAGTCCATCACTGATCATCCACAAACACATTTCGGGAGCTTTGGACAAACACCAGCAAACCCTCCAAGCACCGATTAAAGCATATTGACACAAATATTGGGACAAAGGATTAGATTTTTTTGTTTATTATTTTCTACCAGAGATTCCCCAAATGAATCTACTGGGTTCAGTACATTTGAACTGACAATATGGTTCTGACACAATCAATTAAGGAAAATTTCTTAAATTTTCAAAGACAATCCTCAACATTCAATTACGTGTCTGGAACGACTTACAAAGGAATATGGAAAGTCATGCATTTAAAACCTTGGCAACGATGAGATTATGGGCAGACGAACATGCTGTAATGAGAACAGAAGGTGAAGTACAAGTATCGTCGTCTCCAGAAGGTGAAAGGAAAATTCTGTGGTCCTTAGAAGGCAGTTAAGTGGGTTAAGTAAAGTGATTTATGTGATTTTTTTTTTCCCCAGTGGGAACCTATCTGTTGAAGCAGTAAAGGTGGTGAGAAACAGCAAGTGTCACAGCTAGGAAGAGCAGTGGAGGATGATGGAGACAGTAAGAGTGAGGTGGTAGGAGAACTAGACAGCTCACAAACCAAATCTCCTGCAATTCGACACAACAACACCAGAATCGTAGGGCAGTTAGGCACTGTGCTCTCATGTCGAGAGGAAGATCAAGTTATTGAGGGGATGTAAGGAAATCTGCAGGAGTACACTTGGACGTACGATATTAGAGAGGGACACAATATAGATGGAGGTGACTCAGTACCGATAAATCTTACTGGTTGAGTCCAAGATAATAAGTTCAGGTGGAATTAGAGATTTGATACAGATCACTTAACTGAACCCAATCAAAGCAGCTGAAGCTCATCAACAGTGGTGGTTCCTAAACCAGACAGATCAACTGGATTCCACTGAGATTACGGAAACGCAAATGCAGTCACAAAAATAGATTGGTATCCAATTCCTTCATTAGTAGGTTGCATCTTTCCAAAACTGATCTTTGAAGGGGTATCATTAGCATCAAAAGCTGAAGAAATATCCACCTTTATTAAATCAATGTAGGATTGCCATTCAGGTTTAAAGTGTTCCACCTACATCCCGAAGACTTGTGAATCAAAAAAAAAGGACAACAACACACTGCAGCAACATGGAACTACGCCAAGAGGAGGAGGAATACCTCTTCCAAGTGCTCAAGGATAATGGATATCCAAAGAACTGGGTCAGGAGATGCCTCCAGGAACAGCATCAGAAAGATTCTACACGCCCCAACATCACACTACCCTACATCAGGAACACGTCAGAACTCACCACAAGACTCCTACGACCGCTGGGCATCAGAGTGGCACACAAGTCCACATCAACCCTACGACAAGTGCTCACCCGAACTAAAGACCCATTCCCCGCCATGGACAGGACCAATGTCATCTACAAGATCCCCTGCAGAGACTGTGAGAAACACTACATCGGACAAATAGGAAGGAAACTAACAACAAGAGTACATGAACACCAACTGGCTACAAAAAGACACGACCAATACTCACTCATCTTAATCCACATGGACAAGGAGAACCACAACTTCGACTGGGACAACACCAAGATCCTGGGACAGGCTAGGCAGGGACAAGCACGAGAATTCCTGGAAGCATGGTACTCCACGAAGCATGCTATTAATAAACACATTGAACTCGATCCCATATACATTCCACTTACAGAGGAAACCCGGAAGTGAGGCAATCCATCGCAATGGACCCCAGAGTTTAAAAACCAGGCGGGAAAACACACCAACACTTCATCGGAGGCTGCACTGAGGATGTTACCAAGCACGGTAACGAAACGTCTGCGGAACAACAAACCAGCTCGGCGAGCCAACCAACCTCAACACCCACAACCCGAGCTACAGATCTACTCCAAAACTTTACTTATGAATCAAGTTGTAGCGTAAGTACTTAACTGTGTAGTTTGTTTAGAAGATGTCTTACAGGAACATGTAGGAAGAGGCAATTAGAGGACCTGCTTAAGCAATTGTGGTTAGCTGGCTTTGCAGTCAAGTTGGTCAAAAGTGAATTTTACAAAACCAAGGGTAATTTACCTAGGAGATATCACAGGATTAGAGCAAGTATTGCCGAGAACAGCAAAAGTGATAGCCCTGATCGAAATTCCCCGTTCCTAAAACTAAACGGGAAACCATGAGATTTTTAGGAACGTGTGGGTTTTGAATCAGAAATCTGTGCCTGTGCCAATCACGTCAGCGCGAAAGCTATAGCTTTAACAAATTTGTTGAAGAAACAATGAAAAGGGGGCATGGTCAGCAGCAGTCTTTGGGAAGCTGAAGGCAATCCTGAGAAATGTACCGGTACGGGCTGTTCCTGACTCGACCAAAGCTTTCAAAACAGTGACTCATGTAAGTGATTTGGGATTAGGTACAGTCCTCCTGCAAAATGATGAATCAGGTGCAGAGAAACTATTGGAGTTCTTTCCACTGAAGCTATGTCAAAATCAGAGGAATTAGTCTACTGGAGAAAACCAGACTTAGGGATAATAATTCTGGCTGTTCAACTCTGACATGACTCTGTTATGTCTGACACGGCTGCAATGGAACATTAACCTGTAACGACCACAATCTGTCAGCATCCGTTCAAAACTTGAAAACCCAAATGCCAGACTGTTCAGATGGAGTTTACTGATGCAACCATTCAAAGCAATGATATTTCACAGTGCTCAGACACATTTCCCAGTACACAAAAGTAATGGAATAAATTAAGAAATTAACAGAAAGATGATGATAACTGAAGACAACTTGTATATCATGGCTGATCTGATAAACCACAACTCCACCTTCCTGCCTTATCCCATAAACCTTGATTCCCTTACTAATTAAAAATCTCTCACAACCTTTAATGACCCAGCCTCAAAAGACATCTGTGGTAAAGAATTCCACAGATGCACGACTCTCAGAAAATAAATTCCTCTTCATTTCTGTCTTAAGTGGGTGACTCCTTATCTGAGATTACACCCTCTCGTCCTAGACATTCGCACAAGGGGAAACCACCTCGCTGCATCTAGCCTGTCAAGCCCTCTAAAACTCTTGCATGTTTCCCTAAGTGTCCACTCATTCTTCTAAATTCCAATGAATACCAACACAACCTACTCAACGTCTCCTGATCACAGAGACCATCCACAGCTAGAAACACCTGTGTGAACCTTCTCGCAATTGCCAGTAAATCTTTCCTGAGATAACGGACCAAAATCTGTTCACAGAATTCCAACGAGTGTCTTCCACTGTTACAGCAAGACTTTCCACGCTCATATTCTATTCACATTTCATTTGCCTTCCGTATGACCCACTGAACTCAGATGCCAGGTTTTTGCGATTTATACATGACTTCCAAATCCCTCTGTGCTGCAGGTTCCTGCAGTTTTCCCAATTTAAATAACATTCAGCCTTGATTCTTCCTGCCAAAGCACCTAACCTCACATTTCCCCACATTACATTCAACAAAGTGTTGCCCACTCACTCAACGTGTCGACCTCATTCTAAAAAGTGTCATCAACACCACTGGCCTTCCAGCCAATTTTTCTGGCATCTGCAGACTTAACGATAGCAAAGCCACTTTCCTCATCCAAGTCATTGCTCCATATTCTCATTAATATGGGCCCTAGTACTGACCCCTGTGGCATTCCACGAGTTACAGGGTGCCATTCCAAAAATGTCTCCTTCATCCCAATTCTGTGATCTATTAGTTTGGCAATTTTCTATCCAGGCTATTGTCACCCAATCTCATACAATGAGATACTGTGATATTACACTTATCCGTCCCCACCGGTACTGTACCCCAGTGTTACACAGCGGCAATCCTATCCCCACCGTTACTACACCCCAGTGTCATACAGTGACAGACCTGTCCATACTGACACTGTACCCCAGTGTTATACAGTGACAGACCTGTCCCTACCAGTATTACACCCCAGTATTATAAAGCGACAGACCTGTCCCTACCGGTATTATACCCCAGTATTATAAAGCTTCAGACCTGTCCCTACCGGTATTATACCCCAGTATTATAAAGCGACAGACCTGTCCCCACCGGTATTATACCCCAGTATTATAAAGCGACAGACCTGTCCCCACC